GTGATACTGTCTTTCTTTTCCAGTTCTGCTCAGCTGAGACTAATGAAAACAGTGGGGAAAGGTGAAAGCTTCCAGTCCTTCCACTGTAGCTAATTATGCCACTTGTGACAGAGGGGTACATTGGCTTGCACAGAAGCAAGAAGCCTTCAGAGAAGTCACTTAGAGACTGCAGTGCGACAGATGACTGTTAAACATATGAGAACTGAAGATGAGGTTGTGTCTTCCTTGAGACAGATGGTTTAAAATTGGTATTAAAGTTCTGCAGAAAGCTTAGTGAAAAGCTCTCAACTTCCTTTTATTAGCATGAGAGTTACCTTCTTACTTCCAGCATTAGAAATGATACAAATGTGCAAGCTCTGTCTATTTTGGCATTCTTTAATGCGTTTATCAGTAGTGTCTGCAATACTTGATTTTGCTTTCCAGGTCTCCCTTCAGAGTACAACTACTTATTCTTTTGCTCTGGTATCTCTCTTGCTTCTCCATGCAGAAGGTGCTACTGCCACAATTATAGTTCCTCTTTGCTCCTGCATCTCTACCTGTTTCTTCAATGTGATTTCACAGTGTATTCATTTGATGCTATCTCAATGTTTGTCTTGTGGTGTTTTGGGTCCTTGGAGCTCTTACTCTTGCCTCATTTGGTTTGTCACTTCCACACCTACTTTTCTTAACCACTTAATGCCTCATCTTTGGCAACATTTGGCCAACAATAGAGGGGTGTCTTGTGGTTATTTGTTGCTTTTTAAATGACAGGCAGTGACATTTAAAGTCAACTAAATAGCAGACCAACTCTTTTTTTTCTGGCTTTCCTGTGCAGTATCTGTTGGCTTATTTATATCAGACCTACACACTGAAACAGCATTGGTTTTCAAAAAAGCATTGAAAACTCTTTGTAATTCCCATCAGTCTTCCTGCTCAGACCTGGCAATATTTGGAGTCTTTGTTTTTGGGAAATAACTACTAGACTTGTGTGAAACTGATGTGCCTTTTCTTTAAAAGCTTCTAGTTCTCATATTAGTGCTTAAACTTCTATTTTGAATTTTGAAGCTAAAATCTGACAGCTGAAGTTGGGTATAATCTGACAGCTGAAGTTCATTATTAGTCTATTGAAATGAAGCATGTAATGCTGTGCTTAAGTACCGTTATATGCTGAATTTCTATCCATTCGTCATTTCATATGCTTGAGTCTGATAACATGACTGCAACTGTGTTACAAGGCAACAGTCCTATTATACTGATTTTAGGTTAAAGTAGCATGACTGTTGTATAGGGATAAGTTATACACTGCTGCTACTGGATTTCAAAGCAGTAAATGATGCCATCAGAAACCTCTTCAAGGTTTTTTGATCCAGAAATCACCTGTGCTTGTCTGAGCTTCTGAGTAACTTGTCCTTCAAAGAGGCTACTGCCCTCTTTGCTTATAACATTTGGGAGAGGTACCAGAAATGCAGTTTAGCTGAACATTTGTTTTCACAACAAAGGTATGAGCTCTGACCTCGGATTTTTTAAAGAAAGAGTATTTCTGTGGGCTAAGATGCCAAGGTCTTTTAAACCAGTGTTCAATTTGCTGTGTTAAATTGTAGTAAATGCAAAAATAAACAACGTATCGCTGTTGCTTTCAGACTGGCAACCAGATAAACTGGCTGTTGGTGTCCAGTTACATGGCAGAAAAGTAGCATGAGGAATAATGGGTAGCTGTTTCACTGCAACCTGATGATACAGGGTTTGAAAAGGTCTGAGTACTGCTCCATTTAGCTGTGATGTCTCTAAGAATTGTAGTGCCCTTTGCTTTCATTGTCATAGCCCAGTCAGATCTGTTCCAATTGCTTGTGGACTTGTGTTGTTGTTGTCGTAGTATAATGCTTTGAGATAATGTGGGTGCTGTATGCTTACTGTACCAATACTGCGTCAGGGACAAAATAAAATCCAGTATTCTCTTTGGGAGAAGTGCATTTTCTATCCTTCAGGATATTCTTACCACACAGAGCTGATTTGTGCCAGTAAGAGATTTAGAACAAGTATTTTTCTCTTTCAGTTGCACTGGCAATTAGGAAGTAATGTACATAGTTTTGTGTCTGTCCTGAAAAGGCATTGTTGAAGTCCTCTGAAAAAAATAGGCCATCAGGCTGACTGTTTGCATTATCAGCCTGAATGACTGGAAGAATTGGATTACTTGCATGAGCCCTGTGCAGTGCTTGCCTTAGGAACAATTCAGGTCTCTGCATGCAAATATTACCTGCTAGCCAACTAAAATCTGAGATCAACTAAAGCCTTACTTTAAGGAAAATCTAGGAAAAATGTCTAGGAAAATCTTAGTCCAATTGAGTTATTTGATTAGCCTTACATGCTTCATAGGCATAGAAATTAGAGCCAAAGGCAGAACTCACGTCTCTGATAAATGAGGGCTGGGTGGCAGTTTTGGAAAGGAGGCCTGGTAGGTTTTGTAGATGTGCTGGAAACAGGTTTGACTGTCACTTTTGTAGCTTGTGCACGCTGTGTCCAATGTGTGTGTCAGCTGTCACCCAGCCCATGCTAGGATCTAGTCTTTGCAGTTAAGATGGGTGAATGACTCTGCAAGCCAGTTTGAGTGGGAGAGTGCTGCAGGAATGGATATATGGGATGCACTTAACTAATATGGCAACAATGGATCAAATCAGTAGGCTGCTGTATTGAAAAGAAAAGCAAGAGCATGCTCGATATAGTAGCCAGCTATTGTTCCATCTCACTGTGTGTGTCAATACTCTTAGGGGCTGCTTGTTTATTAGCATTTCTGGAGCAATTTGTGTCATGGAATGGCACAGTTCAGAGAACAGAAAATAGAAGCTAGGTCAGTGATTCCCTCCCCCCTTGCATTGTCTTTCTGATGAATTCAAATATGGTGGTGCTTTATGGACAGTCTGTTTCTGGCCTGTCAGAAAGGTGAAATGGTTTGGGATAACTGCTAAGTTTCATTTTATAATTAAGTTATTCAGCCAGGTGCTTTGGTGCTTTCTTTTCCAGGTTGGTCAGTATTGTTCTGATTTTAACATGACTGGATGAGAAGTGCTGTTCACACTGTTCCAAGGAGGCTGGGAATTAATAAGATGTTACTGTAGAATTTTTAGTCGCCATTTTTTCCTTAAGCATGATAGCACTTTATGCTGAAGAAAAAGAATAGTTTTATTGAGCATGGTTTTTGCCTGGGTGTTTTTTGTTTTGGTTGGGTTTTTTTGGTTTTTTTTTTTTGTCTTGTGTGCTCTATAAGGTCATCTAGCTCCCTTAGGGGTTCAGATAAAAGAAATGAGAAAGATCAAAGGTGGAAAAGCTCAAAGCAGCATTGTTTCCAACATTGAACCAGGTTGGCTGCAGCTCTAGTTGGTCTTGAAAACCTCCAAGGATGGAGATTGCATAGCCTCAGAGTGACCTGTTGCAGAGCTGCTCTGCTCTCCTGGCACACAAACTCCTAGCACAAGGAACAGGTTGTTTTGGAGAGAAGGGGGGTCGTGCCCTTGACTGCTGGTGAAATGCGCTCTGTGCATGGGCTGGGATGAGTCACATTCCTGAGGGATGCACACAGGAGCCCCTGGCTGCTTCTGGAGCCCCCTCCCAATGGGCTCTGTGCCAGGTAAAATCGCTTTGTGCCTCCTCTGCCCTGACAATTTTGCCTCCTAAAATAGTTACCTGTGGAATCTGTGTATCTGCTGAAAGGGTTTTCAAAATTCACCGATGAGATCAGCAATGGGTGGATCTGAGCTGTAAGCAAGATGCTGTTTCTTGCAGACTGTTTAGGAGGTGACCTGTGATTCCCAGACTTACCAGTAGAATCCAGCTTGTGCGTGTTCTTTCCTTGCTGTGGCCCAGCCTTGGGATATCAGCTACATCCATCCACACTGCAGGGTGTATGGCTCATGTTTGCCTCATGTCCCAGGCTCCAAGACACAAAGAAGAGCAACAAAATACAAGCACGTTCCATGTTGCTGAAATAACAAGAGCTGTAATTAATTTTATTTTTTTTAACATGAGAATGGTGCCACATGTTTTGTCAGAGTGAATGACACAGGAAAGTCATTTGAGAGAGAGTTGGAGACCTGCGTGGTACAGAGAAGTGAAGTTGGTGCAGTCTGGTGCGGGGATACACACATGGGCCAGGCTTGGGAGCAAATTGTCCTGTCTGCTTCACTTGGATTTCCCTGACAGAAGTCAAGGTTTTCCTTCTGGAGTGAGCTATTCTTTTTGCCTGGTCACTGGTGGGTGACTGGGGCTGGGAGTGTAACAAGGAGCTGTTTAAATACTACATGTGCTGGTATATACATAGAGCATAAGGTGTGCTGCTGTAATGATTATTTAAACTCTGGAGTTTCCATGTCTTAACCTGGGCTATATTACTTAGTATTGTTTAGGTGCTGCTTTGTTTCACTGTCCCTTGTAGCTTTTATCTTTTACTTAATGTGCTTTCCTTTTCATGAGGGCTGTCATTTGATGGGGTTGATGTAGCACTGAACACAGTGGGAATCATATTGCTGATTAGAACTTGTAGATACAGCAGTGGAAAAATAGAACTTACAGCAGCACATTGTAATATTTTTCTTTGATGCCGTTTCAGTTTAAGGAAACTGGGAACTTGATCAGGCTCCATGACCTACACTTGGATGCTTAGCTCTGCCTTTGTTGATTAATTCTATATGAAAGTCAGATCTGCATAGTTTTTTTTCCCCCCTAATTTTTCTCAAGCTGAAATGAGAGGGTGATATGATATTGTAGGTGTTTCTGACGGGTCTCTTTAAATCATAGAGTTAATACAGTGGTGGCTGTTGCATCTTTAACATAAGGGCATTGGTAGAGGTGGTGAAGGGAGACGTTTTCAACTTCTCTTGATCTGCAAACTTTGTGCCTGCCAAGCTCATATGAAAAAAACATTTTAATGTGTAACTGAGCTGAGGTCATTTGTTGTAATGGTGAATTTTACTTTCCTGACAAAATACTAAGTTAAATAATAAATTACAAATGTTGCTTTGTCTTTTCAGTACATCAATTGTGGTAACCTGGAACAGCTACTAGATGGCAACCAGCATCTGCCCTGGACAGTGAGGGTGAAACTGGCATATGACATTGCTATGGGAATCAGTTATCTTCACTATAAAGGCATTTTCCATCGAGACCTTACATCCAAGGTACTGTTTATAAAATTAAGGGAACTTCCTAACAAAGCTACTGTAAATGTTTGTTGGGCTTTTCTCCCTTCCTCCATTCCATGCAGAGAATTACTGTTATATAAGGTGTGATCTAAGACATTTTGAGAAACAAATTGAAATGCAGCTTAGAGAATTAAAACTTTCCTCAAAACGTTTGCAGTTTTATGGAAACTAGAGAAATTATTATCATGAGGGAAGATCATCCCTTAAATGAGTTCAGATTAGGATTTCTCATAAAGCAGCTGCAGAGGTTTTTTTAGTTCTGAATTGTGGTTCAGTAAAGTATTTAAATCCCTTGATAATTAAGCACAACAATCTAACATTTGGAACAGGTTAATCATATAAAGAACCCAAACTGAGGGGATTATTACAAACACACTTCAAAAATCTCCTTGTTGTTTTTGTTTTCTTGTGTATTTCACAAATCTTCTGTAGGAAGAGTGACCTTTCATTACTAATTCTGCATTAAGTGTTGTGTACAATCCTGGTTTATGTTTCTTTCATTTTTAAAGTCAGTAAGATCAAAATAGTTTGCCTAAACTTTTCAAATTTGGAATTTCCTCCAGAATAATATATCAGTGGCAGAATTTTTAATGGACATAGACTTATTTTTTCTAGTTGCTTTGGTGACAACTTGTATGAATTTAGTTGGCTGAAGTAGCTGGATAAGTCAAGCTTAGCTAGAAATATTGCCATAGGAGCACTAAGATGTGTGAGCAGATTGTCCCAGTATTCACACTGGCTCTTTACCACCCATTGCAGCCTGTGCTGAGGGCTTTGCTGTCCTGTCTGTCCTGTTGTCTGGTGCTAATGAGCTGGTTTAAACTCACTGGGGGCCTGCAACATGGAGTTCCTTCAAAACTGTTCTTGAGAAGGCTTCATCAAGTAATTTCAATCAGAAGCATCCAGAAGAATATTAATTTTGTCTAAAAGGAATTCTTTTTTAGGGTTAGAAACAGTTTTTAAAATAAAACCACAGGAGTGTGTTTGTCAATGAGGCTACTAGTCCTTCATCCATTTTTAGGGGTTTTTTTTAAAGCTTCCTTAGTGCCGTGTTAAACAGATGTAGAATGTGCATTTAGTCAAGGTGAAAAAAGTTCAGCTGGTAGATGAAAGAAGTATTTTGGTGAAGTCATACTTTCTTGGCTGTTCTTTCAAGTGAAGGACACTGAATTCTGTAAGGAAAAATATCAAATTTATGAAAAATGCCCAGACTGGGAGTTGTGTCACTTTGACATGATACACTCAGAAAGCTCCATTTCAGTCACCTTGGAGTGTGCAGGTAAGAGATGCATAAAAATATCTGAAAAGACAACTTGGTGTTCCCCTTTGTTTTTCAGTTCAGGATGTAGTTTAGTGTATTTAAGAGTAGAATTACTGCAAGGAACCAAAGTAACTAAGGAGAACTCAGTGCCTGCAGCATTTATTGTAACACATTCTGTGATGATCAGTCATATGAAAATCCAGTTCCTGGGATCCCTGTGAATGCCTTTGTTCCAAGCTTTACATAACTGTATGTCATTCTCTGGAGCTGCTCTGCCAATGGTTCAATGTTATCTATTGTTGAATGCCAGTTGTTTAGAAAGCTACACCCAATGGGAGGAGTGCGGGATGTCCCAGCAAGAGCAAACTCATCAGAGGCCACAGGAAGTACTTAAGGTTATTCAAAAACAAATGAACAACAAATCAAACCCTAAGAATTTACTAGCAGTTATGATATATTTCCTAGCACTACAGTTAGAGCATCTGTGTATGGGCCACATCGGAAGCTGTCAGCTTTAAGAGTAATATGGAAAACTGATGACAGCTATGGTCTGTATTTTTCAATTTCTTAGGGATTTTTGTGTTGTTTTGTTTATTTTAAAAGTTTAATTCTTTTTTTTTTATGTGATGTGTACACTTCCCTTGTTCTGTTTGGAAAGGAAGTAGACTAAATACCTGGCCTTAAACACTCACCTTAAATTATTCATGAATTTTATTAGCATATTAAGGTATTGATGAAATAAACTTTAAATCTATTGGGAAACTGCTCCTCTTTTGGGCAAATGTTTGCCCTGCTGGCTAGTTAAGTTTTTGAAAAATAAATTTGTTCCAAATCAAAACAATGAAGATAACCATAGTAAAAACCTGTCACCAAAATTCTCAGTTCTCAGATTATGGCTTTTGGCTACTGCTTGAGAAAAGATGCCTTGGCTTTTACCAGGTTTGTACTGGTGATAGGATGAGTTGTCTTCATTGCTACTAGTAAGTAGTCAGTGTGTGTGAGCAAGCTGAAGGAAGATGTGACGGACTCTTTTCCTTGGTAGAGAACTTGGATTGAGCAAGGGCAAATTCAATACTATTCTGTATTGACCTTCTTTCTTCAGTAAACTTCATTAACTGATGGGATGGCTTTATTATTCAAATGAAGGCGAAGACAAGGGTTTAGACATCTGAAAAAGTCAGAACAGGCTGAGTTTGCAAGGTGGGAGAGTAGAGCATTTTTCCATGAAATTTGCTGGCCTTGAAGTGAGCAGAATGAAACTGAGATTTTCTATGCAGGAATGTCTCCATGTTTTACATGTTACACTTGGGACAATACCCCACTGCAAACTGTCCCTTCAATATGAATTTTACTAATTTTAATTAATTTAGATCCATACTTCTGCCTTGCTGTTTCTGGCAAACCTCTAATTCCTGCAGCTTCCTGGAGTGGATGGTGTTATACATAAATTCTACTGTGTCAGTTATGGCAGCAGAGTTGCCTTGCTTTTTTAGCATTATATGTGTCAATGTACTTGATGCCTAACAATTTAAAGAAAGAAAAGTTCCTGTCTCCTGCCAATCTAAGATTGGAAAATAAGTGAGTTTGGCTATTAGTATACAGCAGGGTGATCTCTCTTCCTAATTGCACCATGTGGAACAGAGGAACAGAACAGCATTGATACTGCAGGAGGCCAGAGGGAAGAATGGCAGAGAAGAGTAGATGTAGGTCATTATAGTCGATATGACAGCCCACGGGAATGTCAGCCCTCATATCCCACTGGTGCCCTTTCCAATGTCCTTCTGTCAAAAAGAGAGGCAGCGCTTGTTAGAAGGGATGTGCTGCCCCGACAGCCGCTGCTTCCCCACGTCATGAGCAGCTCAGTGCCTGGGCTCTGGGCTCGGCCTGCTGTAGCTGATCAGACTGAACTGCCCTGGTTGATAGCAACAGCCTGGCTTGAATCTGTCAGAAGGTACGAGTGGTCAGTCTGGCCAGTTGCAGCCTGCATGGAAGAGGGGTATGGGCAGAGTGACTTGGACTTTTTATAGGCCAAGAAATATGGTGTCCACACTTTTGACTTGTCATGAAAAGATTTACGTGGAAATGAAGCTATAGATTGGTTCTGACAGCCAGCCTCGTTGGCTTGTTCCCTGACCCCTATCCATATCACCACAAACCCCATGAATTGTTTTTCATTGGGGCCTCACTGAGTGTGCAGGAGGAGGATTTGCATCTTGGAATCATAGGAATTTTCTTCATCTTTCAGTGATTGTCAAGGAGCTCTGGTTATTAATTTTAATTCTGAAAATCCTAGTTGAAGAAGATGCAATCATTAAAACAGAAATCATATTGTGAAAGTGTTTCAATAGAAGAATTGTGATGTATTTTTTTCTCAGTTTGACTTGGTTTTACAGCATTCTGGCTGTTGTAACTTACAGTTAAAATAGCCATGTTTGGGGAAGAAGTATCCAGCCTGGAAAAAGAATATAGCAAAATCCCTTTGTACCTCACCCCTCAAAACAAATGTCTCACTGCTACAGAGTTTCTTCAACACTTTGTTTATGCCGTATTTGCACTGCATTCAAACCCTGCTCTGGAAACACTATTGATTTCCTTGTCAGCTTATGCAAGTGACTGTCCTAATACAAGTAAAATTATACTTAGAGTACTTCTGAGATGATGGAGGTAAATAAGGTGATTCTTTATTATAACAGATTAATAACAAGAATATTGGTGAATATTGGGTATGTGCCTTAAGACTTTGAAGTATCTTCATTTTATGTGTTCAAGTTCAAAGAGGTATGCTTGCTGGCCTCAGAGGCAGTTTGAAACATTGCAGTATTTATAAAATAGTCAGGTTTGACCCCTGGAGGCAGAGAAAGCACAAGACAAGTAACAATCTGTGAAAGATTTTGCTAAGGTAGCTTCCTTGTTACAGAATCCTTCTGTGATGCTGGGGGAGGCCAAAATCCCAGGGCAACACTGCAGTAGTCTTAACCACAGGACAGAAGAGCTTCATTTGCAGTCCAGACTTTCCTTTCATATCTTCTCAGCCTTTCTGTCACCCTACTGTTTCAGTGGGAGGAGTGGTGAGAGTCCTGAAAGTAGTGGTCCAAGTGTTTTATGTACAGCCTCAATTCACCATTAGCATGAATCCTTTGTGTGTATTAAAACACATGGATGCCAGGTGGAAAATGGTGTGATCATGTAATTAAGGATGTTACCTAAATATGTATACATAAGGGGAAAAGGGAAAGTTGTTGCAGAAGTTCTACATTCCATCCTTCATGCAATATTATTTTTTGATGTAGTGTTTGTTGTGTACAACTTCCTACCAGTTTTTGCAAAAATGGTATTCTGCTCTTTGTTTTAGAGTTGGAAGCTTGGAATTCATGGTAAGGGTGTCTGTTGCTGTAGTTACTACAGTAACTAATAAATGAAGTATTTTTAATTTGTATTTGTTGCTACTTTAGTATTGCTAAAATACATTGCATGTTTTTGCTATGGAGGAGGAATGGGGAGGGGAACAAGAGAGATTCTTTGGTAGTGAGAAGTGAACATCCAGGAATCTGCCCAGTTTTCAAAGTTTTAACCTGCTCTGTTACTATCCAATCCTTTCTGCTAGCATACAATGCCAGTCTCTGGTCAGGCATTTATTTAATCCTTGTTCATAGAGTTTTTTCTCTTCTTTTTGTTCCCAGTTCCTGCCCCACAATCTTATTGATCAAACTCCTAG